GTAGCTTCCCCTTGATCAAGAGCAGCCCCAACATCTTCTGAACCGCCTAGGGCTATAGTAGACAGGACAGCTCTCGGACCTTCATCACATTCTGTCACCTCCTAGGCCACCTCTTGAGCAACTTCAACTAGGTCTATAGGTATAAGCTCAAGAGTGATGGCGACTTGAAAAGGAACCATTTAGAGATTGGGGCGTTGGGTCTCTTTCTCCCTTTATTGAATCGGACTTACTCTGCTATTATTAGAGTCTACTGACAGGATCATTGTCTGTTGACGCTTATGTGTGCACCTTTATTTTTAAGGTGTGGGGCCGATTTAGAGGGGGTGAAAGCATGTTGGTCAATCGGTGGGGCCGTCGTCTTCTTTCTTCTCTTAGCCTCAGGAGAGGGGAGACGGAGCTTGTTTCCTCTTGTTTGGAATATTTCCTCAATCGGGATGATTGGAGGAGCCTTTCTTGGCCCCAAGTTTTTTAAAGACTGGGGGAATAAAAAATTGGGAGGAAGCATCGTCTTGCTCTATCCCCTGGACCACGGTCACCATCGGGGTCTCAAAAGTGGTGAGGGCATCAATGTTACCCCTCAAAAAGGTCATCAGAGCATGGGATTATGTCCAACTATGGCCTAAAAAAAAACAAAGCAGGTTTAGTCTGAGGAAACAAAGTAAGAAGGATAAAACTAAGACAAATGCGTGGGAATACATACTAATGTGGCTCTATATTATATGCTTAAAGCGTTAGGGCCACCATTTGTTGAAACGGAGGCAGGCATCTCTATCACAAGTTCCACCTTGCACTACCTCTGGGTGGTAAGTGAAATGGCTATATGATCGATAGCCTCTCTGTCCAGTAGCTCCATGCTGATTTGGGGGGACAGGCCATGAGGGATCTATTGGCTTAGTCCAAACTGGCCCACCACTAGTTGAGGATGATAAGACTCCAAGTATACTCTGAAAGACTTGGAGTAAGAGCTAGTGTACAGTAGCTACATCTTTCGAGGAGTGGTGGTTGAAAGAAAGACCTCATCCCTTAGAGGGTTGGCAAGCTTGTTCTTCTTCTCCACCATGTACTTGTACCGGTGGGAAGGCGGCGGTTGAGGATATTAAAAACTTTTAAGGTCCTCCCTAAGGACTAGCTTTACTGACAGAAGAACTCGAAGAAGTTCTTCAACTCCATCAACGGATGACCACCCAAGAGATAAGTGAAGGGGTGGTTAGGCGGGAATCATCTAGGAATGGCTCCCGTTGAAGGTTGGGGAAGTAGGCCGTCGTCCACAACTTTAAAAACCAGATGGGCCTATAGAAGTTGTTGAAGGGCTTCTTGATTAACGACTCCCTCATGTTGTCGTAGAGATGGCATAGAAACATAGTCCCCAAGGCTATTTAGTTGCCACAGAGCAGGGACTGGGCGATCCTCAAATGCAACTGCACGGGCTTCCCTCCCCTTAGGGCTAGGATCCATATAAAGACCAGGTGCTCTGTGGCGATGACGGGCTCAAAGGCTAGCTTCTTGGAGAACAGCTCCATAATCATTGTATAGGAGCTCACGACCTTAATCTCCCTCTCCAAGTCAGCAGGAAGGGCGGTGTAGGAGTCGTGCTTCTCGGGGATTGTGTAGAAGTTCTCCTCCCCGGTAATGGGCAGCCCTAGGAACATGAAGACGTCCTATAGTGTGAAGGACATGAAATTGAGCTCGAAGATAAAGGCATTGCAGCTTGGAGCCCAAAAGCTGAGGAGGGCTATTAAAAGGTCCACAAGGATGTCAATGTTAGCCAGAGATAGCTGAATCAGGTCGTATAGACCCATCTTCTTTTACTGAGGCACGTGATCTGATTTCAAACGCCTCACCCTGAACTTTCTACAGGACGACTCAGGGAAGGGCGAGGTCTTCCGAGCCAAGACCAAGTTATGAAGAGAGGTTAATGGCCATGGATTGGGTTGCATAGGAGCGGTGACTTCAAACAAGTTAGGAGAAATCGTCAGATACCCAACGTCGCTCTTGTTGGAGACTTGGAACCTCCAAGGCAAAGTGCTGGACAAAAAGGAAGCACAGTTAGAACACCTTTTAATAAAATAGAAGGCCTAAACATGAGAAATGAGAAACTTACCAAAAAGCTACTGATTCGTGGAATGACGAATCCTCCTGAAAAGAAGTAAACGATTATTAGAGTAGGAAATCAGTCTAAAGGAAAAAAAGGGTTTTCTAGATGATGAAATACATACCATTACGAGCTCGCCTAGTTGGTTTATCGGCTTTCGGATAGTCACTAGAGAATCTAGCAGACTACTGGTGGAAGTAGAAGAAGGTGCGACGGCAGAAGAAACAACAAAAGTGCATGAGGCCATTTGAGGGTTAGAGTAAGAGGAATGTAGCAAACTGAAGACTTGAAGTTCAAGAAACAGCAAAGAAAGCAAGAGAAGTGACCAGAATCTGGAAATGAGTTTATATCGGTAGAAGGCACTCAGAAGTGAAGCGACATTTTGATCTTTTCAAACATGCCATATGGCTTACGTTACCAGCCATTGGCACGCGGCGGGTATTATTTGGGCTAAATATGAAATGTCATTCAAATAGGTTATAAAGTTAGTTGGGCTGAGCAATCGAAGTGTTAGGCCCAATATAAATAAAAGAGGCCAGCCCCGAAACTCAATAAAGTCCACAAAAAATAAACATGCCGAAATCTTATCAACTTCAAATATCATACCATTGGTATGAAGACACGATCCTAAGTAACGCTGAAATATATGCCCAAGTAGTTCGGTAAAACGGGCTGGTTAACAAAATAAAGAGACTGTGCCATAAGTTTTGTGGGATCCCCGATTCTTCGGTGGAACATGCTAAGTCTCAAAGGAAAAGTTTCTGCTATCTAACACTGTAAATAGAAAGAAGAAAAACAGAGAAGGCTAGTCAACACCCGATCAAGATTTGTATATTTTACATTCATTAGCCCTTTTTCAGTTCTTAGTTTTTAGTCTATAATTTTTACACTTCAATCAAATTATACACTTGTTCTACCATAGCCTTCTACCTTTTTACATCCAAGCGAACTGTGGTAAGGGAACTTGAGATACTTTTTATTATCTATTAAGACTCAGCATTTCTGGCATGCCTGATATTTATTGTTCAACCACGAACACAAGGCATCCAACAATTAAGAAGAAAAATGACTTGGTTTTAAACATAAATATATAAATTAGAATGCACTATCATTATTCTTAAAAGACATCAAAACCATTACAATCTCCTTGCGCAAACTATTACAATCTCCTTACACATATCTAGTGGGCATCCAATTAGTGTTCTTTGAGCATCAATATTTTGTACTATATGCACATAAGCCTTGGTTAACATGGCTCTTTCTAGCTGCAATCCTTCTAAAAGAGCCTAAACTTCACTTTCTAATATAGGACATGCTTGTTGACTCTTAACCATTTCCATGCCATATTTTGAAAAATTTTCAAACCATTTTGTGAAAACTTCAATCATGCTATTTAATGACTTAGCAAACATCTCTATGCCCAAGTCTTCATTCATCATTTTACCTTTTTTTTTTTTTCCTTATCCTTTGATGTAGTTGTAGGTACAATTCATTCTCGTGATGCCAAGCTTGGTTTATTAAGTTCATTCTTCCTAAAATGCAATCCATGCCAATAATCAAAGAAAGCAAGCAATAGAATGGTGCAAGGGGGAGAAAAAAAGAATATTCAAACATGGAAGAAAGGGACAAAATAGCATTCAAAGAAAAAAGATAAAGCAAGTAAAGAAAAAATGAAGCAACATACATGTTCGCTATCATAGGAGAGGAAAATTGCGGAGTTGAGAGGCAGCAGTGAGAGATGGTGGGTAGGCCAAAGACATATGAAGAATGAAAATAATAAATGATATATTTTTTATTAAAATAAGAGGCTGAGCGTAAATTAATAATTAAAATAATTTCATCAGAGCACTCCATCCTTTGCCCTCCAATTTAGGGGGACAAAAAAAATTAAGTTGTGGATGGCAAAAGAGAGCTTTAAAAGCCCTTCCTTACCATTCCATCCCTCTTTAAAAGGTATTCTTAAACAATGGTTCAAGTCTTCTAATCATTCCATCTCATTCCACTCCCCTCTAAAAAAAAAAAAATTCCCAAACACAGTGTAAAAAATATATATATATATATATATATTATTTTTTATTCAAAAATCTAAAGGACAAGATTGAGTTTTTGAATTGTGTTCAAACACAATTTCTTTAATATTTATATAATTATAATTTCTTAAATGGAAACAATTTACATACTTTCATTAAATTCCACTTAATATATAACCCATCTCTAGTAAAGTTCTTTTTACTCAAATAATTTCGTGATAAATTTCAATAACCATGAAATAAATTCATTAAAATCAAATAAACAGTAATAAATATTTTCTTACAATTAATTTTATACTTCTTCCTTATGAAAAAATAATTCAGTGCTTTAAGAACATAATTAAAATCAATTTATGTTGATCAAGATTTTTCTCCAATTTCATATTCTATTTTGTTAAATCATAATCTTAGATGCTTGTATACCTCAGAGACGCAAATTAAGTTACCTTAAGCCTCATTTTAATTAACAAATTATATTCTAATATTATTTTAAATTGCATATGTGAAAATTAGGATCTCACACTATATGCTGTAGTGTCAGGGTACAATTATAAACATGACAAATCAGGATTAATATGCCAGCAAAACGTTTATTTGGAAGATATCAATCATCCCATTAATGTACTACAAAAAATTACTTAACAAGAGAATAATAGATAGATGAGGGGGAAAAAATCTCTATGTTAAGTTGGATATTCATTTTCTTCATTTTTTAATATAAAGTTGCAAAGTATTAAAATATTAAAACATTAAATTGGTGTTTCTAATTTTTTGGAGGAATACCATTAGCTAATAAAAAATATTATAGACAAGGACCTAAAAAATAGGGAAAACACAACTTTAAATCCTTACACTTTGCTCATATTTTGCTCTTGATCTTTCAAAACCTTCCACATAAAAATGCTTTATATTTCTACTCAGTGAATTCAACAAAAATAATTAAATATATTCCATCATAGATGCAAGCATATTCGTTCATGTGACCTAATGCTTCTTTCAAGCCATAACATAACATCCTTAGATAAACTTTAAATTAAAGGCAGCAAAAAGAAAGGGAAAGCCTGCCAGCAAGACAATAGAGTCTACAAGGGAGCTGGAAAACCACATACCAAACAACACCTCTTGCTTTCCAGTCCAAGCCCCTCCCAATTTTTTTTTATTTTACGGGCAAGCGTAGTGCCTGAAGAGGCACAGGATCGAAGCCGGAACTCAGTGCCACATAGGCACAGCTTGATACCACTAGACCCAAGGCTCTTTGGTAAGGCCCTCTCAATTGAAACAATAAGACGCATAACACTTTGATGGACTCAGGATTTCCTCCTAGCTAGTAATTCACAGGTTACAACATCATCCATTGATGAAGCAAACCTTCCAGCACCTATCACAGGAACTATGTTGAACATTGGCTCCTCGCCACTTACAATAATGACCTTGTGATTTATTTTGGCAAGTTCTGAAAGTGCATTGTTGAAGAAGGCTGTCAATTCCTCCATGGGTACCTCAAGGCTTGATGGGATGTAGAATCGCAAATTCTGCACAAGCAAGGATATGTTGGATTGTAAGAGGACGACTTGAATCTAACAGGAGAGGAGCAAGTAGAATAAAGCAGATATCTCCTTAACGTAAGGCCTCATTGCAAACCTGGCGTGTGAACTTTAAAAGGACAAAATACCTCCTAAAGTAGTATCTCGTGTTTTTACTTTGGTTTTTTTTTTTTTTATTTTGGGAGTTGAGGGTCAATTGTTCCCCAAAACTTTATCCTAATATTTTTGTTCCTAAACCTTTGAAATGCGCTGCCTTGTCACCCCATTGTTAACATATTAGAACGTCTGTTTCTGGTGAAGTAGGTCCCACAATTTATTATTATTTTTTTAATAGAATATTGGGTTAGGGTTCACTTTTGCCCCTAAACTTTTCCCTTAGGGTCTATAGGTATCTTGAACTCATGGGCAAAGGTAACCTTTAACCCAACATTTTAATATAAAAAAATATAAAAAATGGTGGGACCCATTCTACTATAAACAAACATTATGACACATTAATGGTGGGGTGAAGAGGCAGCACATTTCAAATATTCAGAAACAGAAATGATCCAATGTCAAGTTCAAGGCACTTGCAAACCCTAAGAGAAAAGTTCAAGGACAAAATGACCCTTAATTTTTTTTTTTAATGAAAAGCAAGCTAAGCTTGAAAAGATAACCCTAAACAAAAATATAAAAAACAAGCAGAAAGATTAAACAGAAAGTTTCACCACTAAACAACTGTACCGGCAAGCATGGGAAATAGGGAATGGGTTTATGGTTCAGGGGAATTATTATCATGTAAAGCACGCACTAATTTCGTTATCAAGCCCAAGTTGGGGGGGGGGGTTGAAATGTGGTTTTCCCATCACATAGTTTTCTGGTGCTCTTCTGCTAATCACCTATTCCTATGGTGTATATTACAATTGTCAAGTGAAGAATGAAACAGATCTTTTAAATGTAAAGTAACTACTTGCACCTAATTATCACATTATCCGTATACTTTTTTTTTTCTTTTTTCCTGATACATTATCCATGTATTTATATTCAACAAAATAGAAAAGATTTGAGGGAGCAAGTATAATTCAATAAGTAAACAGAATGTTCAACTTCAAAGTATGATCCTGGTCAGGACAATGAAATAATCGAAGTTTAACTGACCGTTATATCCTCCCAGGCAAAAGCACTGTCTGTCATTGCTTTGTCAAGTAGATAGATTAAGAACTTCGAAATTTTCTCCATATTTGCCTTGGAGACAGAAAATTGACCGTCATTAACATTATCAATCGGAAGGGACTTGGAACATATCTTCACAGCCAGCTCACTTGTAATAGACAATACAAGTGCACATATCTTTCCATGAACGACACATTTCTGAATGCAAGAATCATGCCACCGCTCATGCTTGAAACCCCAATAGCTCTCTGTATTTAAACGAGATCCTTCACTAACATTCTCAATTGTAGCTTCTGTGTCATCTTCAACATAAAGAATAGGCTTTACTTCTACACAGGCCCTGCAAAGCCAGAGTAGAACCAACTAAACGCATGGATTATGTGATGTCAATAGCACAAGAATTGGACGGTGCAAGAATTAAGTGGCAGTCCATTCCCCAGACCCACTTCCTAAAAACGGGAGTAATAAAAAACAAGACACAGATTACACCAAGTTTCAAACTATAAAATTCAATGATATTGAGAACACCAAGCTGGTACAAGAAACCGAAAAAGACAACCCTTAAATCACACACAGCTTTCTTTTTAAGTAAAATAATAATAAATAAATTATTAGGATGAGAAGAATCCACAACTAGCAACAGGGTAAGAAATCCTCAAAACACAATTCATGAAAAGCTCAAAACAATAAACAGTAACAAAATCCAAAAGTGATGACCAGTCTCTTTGCTCATCGGATAACAGGTTCTCACTAAAAAAGACCATGTGCTAAGCACCAAAGGGAAACCATATGGACACTTTTATCCAACAAACCAGTGAGTGACAAGATTATGTACCTCTTGGGAAGATCAGGAACAAGGACATATAGAAAAATAGGATCTAATCCTTTATTCATATTTCCTTCCCTTGGAGGAGAAATCTTCATCTCCCTGAGGAAAGTCTCCTGTTTCTCCATAATTTCACGTCTCTCCAACGATGAGACACGTTTAGAACAGTAAATAACAAATGTGATTACAGACGTTAAAATTGAACATTTAAAGCACTTTGCCACGGCCTCACTGTTTCTAAGTGCTTGTTCCAGTTCAGCACCTGGGCCTCCACTGCAAAGATTCATTGTAGGAGGGTCAAGTCCCAGTTGCCCAGCCATGTGAAGTATACCCTCATGCAAGGTTGCCTGAGCAAAAGATTAGAAAGAACGATAATATAAATCACTCAATAAAACATGAAGGAGACAAGCAAAGACAAGCCATCACTTTTCAGTGCATTTACATTATTTAAATGATAAATTGCAATTCAATTTTTATTTTTTTGGTTATATAAACAAGAGCATCTACAAAATAGTTTTAACTTTCAAGTCATGTCACCCTAAAAATAGTCAGAGATGCAGGCAAAAAAAAAATCAATGTTAAAAGATTTAAATAATAAATAAGGAAGACATTTATCTAACTTAAATTAAGCAGAGTCCAGCTAAAATAAAAGTATCAGTCCTAATATTTAGGGGTCAATGGAAACTACAAGGAAAACTTCACACACAGTATCTCACACAGATTTGCGTTCTCTAATCTCTCCAAATGAATCATGATGCTTCAGCAGTTTGACAACTGGACAGGAAAATAAGTGCCACATTTAGGCCCAGAGCCAGAATATTTCAACAGCTGTTAAACTTCAACTATTTCAGTTGTCCTAATATTCAATTTCAACAAAAACACGCCACAACGGAATAAACACGTTCATTCTTGCTGTTTTAGTAATACATGCCAACCCACTGGGAATTATTACCTGGCTGTATGGCCCAATGCAGCTAGGTGCCCAACAGGAAATGCTCTGCACATGTAAAACCTTTTTAGTTACATCTCTTGTCACCAGAACATCAACTAATGCCCTGCCCAAACCCACTTGTAGTAGAGGCATTTCAACTGTACTACGGGATGGAACACCAAAACAGCAATTTTCGTGTGTTATGAACTTCATATAGGTATCATTTGCCACAGAAAACTGATTCATGTCATCAATGTAGAGATGAACATAGAGGATGTTCTCCCAGCCAAAACCAAAACTCCCTAATTGCGATTCAATTCTCCCCAGAACAGCCTCAAGATCTTCCTGCAAACCTGCTCCAAGGAAATGAGCGAACATTACTTTAATTAGAAAAACAAATTAAAGTGGAAGTGGACGGGGCTACTGAAATCATTGAAAAAAATGAAATGGAAAAAGATAACGAATTAAGACCACTGCATGAATCTTGCAACCAGCAACACATGGAGAATGTACTCTTGTTTTTTGTTCTCGAAAATTGAAATTTATACTTTGAGCCATTACTGCGACCAGTAACACAATCTGCAGGCTTGCATGAGACTTCACATCTTTCTGGGCAATCATGCACTTCAAATACATTTCCTGGTTTCTCCATCTCGTGTTCATTGTCTTGTGATCTTAAAGGCTGAGCATCTGCCTTATTTTCCAAATGGAATGCCAAGGGGTGAAGAATTCCAACTGGAGCAATGGAATCTGAAGAGTGCATCACAACTTGATATTCATCAAGCATAATGCGAGCGTTCTGAAATTTTAAAAATCAAGTTGCTAACAGAAGAAATTTGCAGAACATAATTAACATAAATTTAAACAAAACAAGTAACAATATCAATTTTTTTTTTTTTTGAGGAAATAAAAAAAAAGTTCAAATTCTCAAAATCACTAGGATCAAATGCATTTGAGAATGAAACCTCCAACTAATATCTTAATAACAGCATTAGATTCACAACTTAGACTCCACAATGCATGGTGAATTCCAATAGACGAGACAAGGGTAACAGACAAAGCCAGATAGCTCAAGTACTTTCATTCAATCATGAGAATTGTGCTATGAACTTACAATAAAGAGAGGGCAATCAAGTGTTAATGTTTCATATTCTCCTCCTTCGCCACAAACATTAATTCCATACAACCTGCAAAGGACAACAAAATGGGAGTCACAAAACAAAAACATAGAGACCTCAAAGAGAAGAATTTCACAATTTGTGGGGAACTCTGACATACTCTTTCAATTTATGCAAATGTGAATTCAACAAGGTTATTTCTTTGCCCAGATGCTTTCCAGGGTCCAAACCCATGGCAGCAACCTAGTAATGCATATGAAGAATCAAAGTCCAGAATAAAAGTTATGATATGATAGAACCAGCACCAATAACAGATATTAAGAGAAACAAATAACAGGAAAATGAAGAGAAATTCACTGGGCGTCCTCCATTACAAAGGGAAAAAGTAGATAATACACTCACTAATCAGCTTCACACACTAACTCCTACCTCAAAAGTCAAACAAGAAAGAGTCCCTCAAATAACCTGGTTTTCGAGAGACCAGGCCCTTTCCACCAAGATGATGCTACTACCTACCATCTCTTGCACTCCCTGCTCCCATTTTACCCCCTTCCACCACCCTGACGGTGTCAGGCACTGTTATTTACTGTGTTTTCCCCACTCTGCCCTTGTCTCCCCTGTTCTTGGGTATTTCCTTTGGGCTTCCATTTGTATACATGGCCCCACTTGTAGGAAAGCCCATCATTCCCTTCCTCTGCAAGCAACACCTTGTCCTCAGGGTAAAATTGGGGAAATTGTGCTTCAATCACTTCTGCATCCTCCCAGCTGTTCTCATTGTCAAGTAAATCTTTCCAACAACAACAACAATAACAACAAGCCTTTATCCCACTAGGTGGGGTCGGCTACATGGATTGCAAGACGCCATTGTGCTCTATCATTTAGTAAATCTATCAAGTAAATCTTTCCATTTAGTTAAAATCTGCAGCTTTCCATTGTTTGTCCTCCTCACGCCCTTGACTTCTTCTGGTTGGAATTGCAACTCCAACTCATCTGAGAGACCCTTAGGGAGGGGTTGAGCAGTAACTGAAGTTTTTAGAGCCTTTTTCAGCTGAGATATATGGAATACATTATGTATCTGAGCTGTTGCAGATATCTCCAGCCTATATGCCACCTTTCCAACCCTCTCTAAGATTTTATAAGGGCCATAAAATCCGGGTGACAGCTTCTCGTTAAGCTTTTTGGCCAAAGATTTGTACCTATACAGTTTCAGGTTGAGGTAGGCAAGATCCCCTACCTCAAATTGGACTTCCCTTCAGTGCTTGTCTGCTTGATTCTTAATCTTACTTGAGCCTTCTCTAATTGTCTCTTGAGTTCATCCAAAATCAAGTTTCTTTCCTGTATTAATTTATCCACTGCCTGGACACAAGAAGGCTGATCCTTCCATTTTAAAAGTGACAATGGATCTCTTCCATATAGCACTTTGAAAGGAGTGGTCTCAACAGCACTCTGATAAGTAGTATTATACCAGAATTCAGCCCAAGGTAACATCTTAGCCCACTTTTTGGGGGTATTTGCACCTCAAGTAGGTTTCTAGAGTTCTATTGACTACCTCGGTTTGCCTGTTCGTCTCAAGATGATAGGAAGAACTAAACTTGAGAGTGGTTCCAGCCAAGCTAAAGAGTTCTTTCCAAAACTGACTTATGAAAACATGGTCTCTATTGGACACAATAGAGCTCGGAAACCTGTGCATTTTGATAACCTCAGGTACCATTAAATCTGCCACTGCTCTAGCACTATATGGATGCAATTAGGGAAGGAAATGCCCATACTTGGTTAAATGATCAACCATCACTAGAATCATATCAAATCAGGTACTTTTAGGCAGTCCACCTATGAAATCAATACTAATATCTTCCCATGACTCTTGGGGAATGGGCAAAGGTTGCAAAAGCCTGAAGGGACTTCATACTTACTGTGTCGGCAAACTTCACATCTTCCCACATTTTCTTGGATATATTTCCCCTAACCTTCCCAAATTACCACAGCAGCAAGATACCTGTAAGTTCTCAGATGCCCCAAGTGGCCTCCCATAGGTAAATCATGGAACTCCCTACTCAATGCTGGAATTTTCTGGGAATTTCTGGTCAGCACCAGCCTTCAAAATAAATTATCCCTTGCCTCAAAATATACCCTTTTGGTGCTTCCTTCCCTTCTATTAATTGCTGCATAATCTCGCAGAGACGTGAATCTTCTGAAATTTCAGTAACAGCTCATCAACCCCCTCATACTGACACATGGACACAGCCCTCAATTCCATATCTACATTGTGTCTGGAAAGTGTCAGCCACATGGCTTTCTCTACCAGGCTTGTATTGAATCTGGAATTTGTATCCCATGAGTTTTGTCACCCACATCTTCAGATCAGGTGCCAAGACTGTTCGAGGACATATTTGAGGGCTTTTTGGTCTGTTTTATAATAAATGGCTGGCTGGACAGGTAGTGTTGCCACTTTTTGACCGCCAACACAATTGCCATTAATTCTCGCTCATAAGCAGAATTTTGCTGGCATTTTTCAGATAATTTCTGACTTAAATAAGCTATAGGACATCCTTTCTGCATCAAAAACAGCCCCTACTCCCTTCCTCGAAGCATCTGCTTCCACTTCAAAAGGCTGGTTGAAGTCAGGCATTGCCAAAACAGGCAAAGTTGTCATGGCAGCCTTGAGATCTTCAAAGGATTTATGGACCTTTTCATCCCATTTAAGAGAGTCCATTTTGAGTAGGTGAGTCAGTGGGTCTGCTATTCAACTCTGCCCCTTCACAAACTTGTGATAGTACCTTTTGAGACCAAGGAACCCCCTCAAATGCTTTGGCTTTGGCCACTATAGCATCGCTGTGATTTTTGAGGGATCCACTTTCACTCCTATCGAAAAAAATGATGTGAACCAAATATTCGATATGGGTTTGCCCTAACACACATTTCTTTGGATTCACTAGTAATTGATGTTGCTCCAGCAGCTCCAGGGTCTTCCTTTGATGTTCCTGATGAGATTTCCTATCTTTGCTATGCACAAGTATATCGTCAAAGAATACAAGCATAAAGTTTTGCTGATAATCTCTAGAAATATCATTCATAAGAGATTGAAAAGTAGAAGGTGCATTCATTAAACCAAATGGCATAACCTTTAACTCATAATGGCTGTCCTGAGTGCAGAAGGCTGTCTTGGGTTCATCTCCCTCTTTAATGCAAACTTGAGATCTAGCTTGGTGAAAATTGTTGCTCCGCCCAACTCATCAAGTAACTCATCAATAGCCGAAATCAAAGATTTGCCAGGTAAAGTGATGCGGTTCAGGGCTCTATAATCAACACAGAACCTCTAACTACATCTTTTTTCTTTACCAACAGCACCAGGCTTGAATAGCACCTTGTGCTAGGTTATATTAACCCTGCCATCAGCATCTCTCCAACAAACTTATCAATTTCAACCTTTTGGGCATGTTCGTACTATATGACCATGTGTTTGTAGGCTATGAACCTTCTTTGATGGTTATGGAGTGGTCGTGAGTTATCTTGGTGGCAATCCCTTAATGGGTCCGCTCACAACAGGGAATTCTTCAAGTATCTTAGTCTCATCACCTTGTACAATAGGTTGAACTTCATCTTGCTGCTACAAGGTTGCTAACCCGATCATATACCCCACTCCAGTCTCCCAAATATATATATATATATTTTTTAATCTACCCGAAGTGAAACTTGAGCTTGCGATAGAGAAGAATCTCCCCTGAGACACCTATTGTTTTCCCACCTTGATTTTCATATAGAGCTATCACCAATTCATGTGTTTCCCCTAGAGACTCTAGCCACTCAACCCCCAGCCCAAGATCCATGTTAACCAAATTAAATGGGTAAAAGGATTGTTCTATGTTCATTCCCTATATCTCCAATTCCACTATCCAGCACTTAAGGTTCGAAAACACCTTCCGCCCATTGCCGACTGTGACAGCATACCTCTTAACAATTTGGGTTGAGATTTTGAGCTCCTCAACCAACACTGCAGCCATGAAGTTGTGCATGGCACCACAGTCGATTAACACGAAGACGCTTCTTCCACATGTCTCCCCTTTCAGTTTTAGTGTTCGCCTACCCATAAGACCCATTGCAATAGCCATTGATAATTCAATAGGCACAAGCTCCCCCTCTTCATTAGGTTCCTTGGGCTCGTTTACTACTTCCTCTTCTTCTAGGCCAATTTCATCCTCATCTAAAATTAGGAGCCTAAACTGTTTATTTTTGCACTTGTGGTTTGGGCCAAACTTCTCCTCACATTTCAAACACAAGCCTAATTCATGCCTCCTATTAATTTCAGCTTTTGAGAGACGCTTATGTGGTGCCACGATCCCATTGCTATTGCTTGACGACGCATTAGGGCTCGCGTGTCTTGCTTGCTTTAGCCTGTCTCTTCACTCGCATTCTCTCCCAACGTCTTCATCCCTGTTGGAAAGCCCAAACTCTTGGATGCCTCCATAGCACTAAACTTAGGAGCCACGGTTTCAGATCACTCCATCAACTCCCACATCCTCATTCCCTTGCTTCTCTTCTCCTCCAGTACCTTTTCCTTAATTTTATTTCTATCCTCCACCTATCTTGCATAGTCCATGAGTTCCTTTAGGCTCTTGGGATGCATCAGTTGTACATCAGCCCTAATTTCTTCATTTAAGCCATTCAAGAAGGCCCCCATTAACATCTCATCAGGTACGACAGCTAAAGGGGCTAATAGTAATTCAAATGTCTCCCTAAATTCAGCCACTATTGCTTCTTGCTTTAGTGCCAAAAGACGCTCATGTCCCCCCCTAATTGCCTACAATGAAACCTGCCATGAACGTGCAAGGGTGCTCGTTTCAAGCCATTAGAACCACGATAAGCCCTTGCCCTCTAGACTCACCACGAAAGCATCCAACTTTTTTGTTTCCCTAACTCCATTCATAGTGAAGTATCGCTCCACCCTGAAAATCCATCCCAATGGGTCATCGCCGTCAAACATAGGGAGTTCAAAGTTCAAGATGGTGGTGCTTGAAGCTGTCATTCTGTCCTATATCTTAAGGGTCATCAGTATTGAACCCTATATCTTGAGTTCCATTCCTTAGCTCATCCTCTGGTGGCGGTGGAGGTGGCAAAGGAAATGGCAGGTTGGTAACTTCAAACGTCTTCTTCAACTCCTCTAGCAATCATAGGATGAGCGTCGTGGAAGCCTCAACATTTGGTAAGTTTCTTTGTAGTTTCCCCTTGTTTCCTTTGCATTTCTTCCACCACTCGTTCCAAATGCTCAACTCTTCCCTCCCTTCTAGTAAAAAACGATACCCTTGAACAGCCCGCTCTGATACCAAAATGATAGAACCAACACCAATAACAAATATTAAGAGATACAAATAACAGGAAAATGAAGAGAAATTCACTAGGCATAAGAGAATACACTCACTAATCAGCTTCACACACTAACTCCTACCTCAAATGTCAAACAAGAAAGTGTCCCTCAACAACCTGGTTTTCAAGAGACCAGGCCCTTTCCACTAAGATGATGCGACTAACTACCTTCTCTTTCACTCCCCGCTCCCTTTTTACCCCCTTCCACTACACTGACAGTGTCAGGCACTGTTATTTACTGTGTTTTCCCCACTCTGCCCTTGTCTCCCATGTTCTTGGGTATTTTCGTTGGCTTCTGTTTGCATACACGGCCCCGCTTGTTGGAAAGCCCAACATGACATAAAAGTTCCATACAGTACATAAAAAAAAAAATTAGATGGGGAGGGTTTTGTTTTCTTTCTAGGCCGTATATCACTTGTATAAGTGGCTGCCACACGATCAAAGCCAAAACCAGCATGCCTTTTTTTTTTTTTTTTTAAGAAAAAAATTACAAAGGCAAGCTGAGGCTTGTAAGAAGTAAATAGAAACTATATTCTAGGCAAAACAGACCACCTCAACCAGCAACTAACAGACATGTTGTTGGTCTTCAAGGAAACGTTCCAAGCACCCAATTGGAACAGGCTGAACGAGCACAATATCAGGGTAAAACTGGCATGAATTTGATGTTACTATATGCAGCATAACCTTGGAACATTGTCAATTGACATCGCACAAAATATTCAATGAAATCAAAAGAATTTAAGATCTCCCTAAGTAGCTGACAAGTAAGACCAAAATGGGAAGAACACAGTAATTGCCTCTTATTTAAGAAGGGACAGTTAAAACTTTAGAAGCAAAGCTAACCAAGAAGTTATACCTTCACTGTTACAGCCACAATTCCATTAGCAATCTGGTCACCCAAAAAAAAAAATTGTAATTACAGTTATGCGAAGAATAAGGCAAATTTAAATACACAAATTAATACATGATGCATGTGTAAAATTATATTTGCCAAAACGCAATTTACCATTTCCTGGAGAAGCAATGATTGATCTTGTTTCCACAAGTACGCCAGAGAAACAAGGCCTAACCTTGAACAAACACTTTCCACCCGCAACCTCTGATAGTCAGATGCAATGGCTCCGGAGGAAACTGCTGTAACTGAGGGTATCTGTCTTTTTACTTCACTTAACAAAATAAACATGTCTTCCACTTCATCACCCGGAGTTGGTCTGTATCCAAGCTCCTGATGCCTATCCAAAAAATACCATTTTTAGATTAAGCACGATATAATTATATCAATCCAAATATTTCATGATACTTGAAGTATGAAATTTAAAGAACATTCAGCTTTTCTTTTTTATGACAAGAACATTCTGCTTTAAGAAAAATGCAGTTAGATGCATTGTTGAAGAGAGATCTTTGATTTAAACGTTATCGGCCCACCCACAATTGGTCATACAGAATACAGACTCCAAAAAAGATGAATGAGCTGACAAAGATACAATGTTCTAGTTTTTCTTTCCTGTTTTTCCCCCTTTTGGAATTAGTTTACTACATATACAATGAGAACATGAATGATAGTAGCGTTCTTAACATGTGACCAGATTGGCTGGTTCAACAGCTAACCTGACCCAGGTCCAGTTCAGTTCTGAGATGCCACTAAACCAGCCAGCTTTTCAAGCACAGATGATGTGGCAGAAGCTGCCAGATGATCTGCATTACTAAAAAAAGCTTTTTAAGAAATACTAAACATATTTGAGAAAAATTGTAATAAATAAAAATTATCTTGTGCAAAAATTTTATCTAGTTTTGCATCATCAACTTGATTGTAAAATGTTATATATTATAAAGTTGAGGATAAAAACATAATTATGGTGAATGGAGACTTACATTCACATGGCCCCCCCTTCTTTTTTTTCCTTTTCTTTTTATAATAATACTTCAAAGATAGAGACTAACTAGATAATGATAATCGATAATCAGGACTGCTAAAGATATCTTGATGAATATAAACGAGTCTAAATAATAGTAAATTCCTAAGTCCAATTCCACTAGGATCCACTATAATAGGATTTCTTAATACGCCTCTCAAGCAAAAGATTATTCAATATTCATCTTGTTACAGAGAAGGCCCTAGTGAGACACGCTGATAAAAGAATTTGATAGCCATGACATGCTAATAACAGGAACTAGCTGATAGTAGGGCGAGATCAACACTCCCCTTGGATGATAAAGTTCTATAGGCATCATGTTAACTTTTTGAACAGAAAGCAGACAGAAAAATGAACAAGAAAACGCAGGAAGAGTCACAACACAGTTTGAAAGAATCTGAAATATTTCACGCCATCAAGAAAGTTTTGCTGGTAAAATGTGCAGCCAAAGGAAAAAAAAAAAAGGAAAAGCGTATATAGGCAAGATCTGAATTGTAACATCACTAAGAAGGTCAAACCAGAGCCAAGAAAGACCTATGATGGGATAAAGACCTAGAGTCACTGGAAAAGACCAAATAGAACACTACTAAAAAGAAAGTGATAAAAAGGAAATGCTGAAAAACCGTTAAAAAAAAAAACACAGTTAAGCAGGTGGGGTGGAAAGTCAGCTGATAAACAAGCTAGTTGAAAGCAGACCATGAAACCACAGTAGGAAAAATGTCCAATTAGAGAAAAGAACTGCCTCTACGATGCACAGCAAGTAGCAGGAACAATGCAAAGCTAGAGAGCACCTGATGATAACGAGAGAAGAGACCAAAGAAGTTCAAATTTTGAGATACAGCTTACAGTGACAAGGATGCAGACACCAGAAAAGGCAAAAATATACAGGACAAAGTACTGGGTTAAAAAATATACTGGAAAAGCTACTACATGATCAAATCATTGCAAAGCAACTCAACTCATGTTAGAGGTCAAAGAAGATATTAAGAAGATAATTTGTCCCTTTCTGACGGCAAAGCAATACGTCTACCAATAACAGATGCTGAGACAACAGAGGCTGTGACTGCCCACACGGGGAGGGTGAAGATGCAACTCTTGGTTCCAAACAATTTTGGGGATCTGATTCTGATGGCGAGGTCATATCTCCCTTGTGTCACTAGGAAGTGTGAATGCGATTAAAATTGTGGCTGAGATAGGGTGGAAATGTTGGGAGCAGGTTGAGAAGGAGGTTAGAGCTATGCTAAAGGGGCCAAGTTCCCATGGAGAAGTGGTTGAATGTCCAATATTAAACCCTAAAAACAAGATATTTGATAGAGCTGGTGATTCCCAAAAGATTTTCCTATCATTTCCTAAGGCTTACAGTGGACAATCTAGCCAGGGAGGTGATTTAGAGAAGACTAAGACCAGTGGTCAAGAGGTTTATTTGAAGGTTTATAACTGTAAGATTCAAATGATAAAAGAAAGTCACGTTAGGTGTAGCCTAGGGTATGGGTAGTGTCAGCAGGGGTAATGACTACTTTTTGACTCTTTAAATATGTACTTCCGTGATAAGGGATGAGGAGGGGACTATTGGAGAATTGTGGTCAAGTGAGGAGAGTTTTGGCCTCTCGAATGCCAGATTAAGGGTGGAGAAGATCATCTTTTCTTCATCACTTTATCTTTCTACTTCAATTTGTATTTGTGAGAGACCAGTGTTTGTGTTGCTGCTCAGAGGGTATAGTTTATGTTGTTTCATGCTCTGTAATTGCCATCTCAGTGTAATTTCTGTCTTTATTTTGATTGTAATCCCACTCTATTGTTCAGCAAGAGTAATTGTTAGTTACATTTACAGTGTATTTTCTGGTTTTGCTTATTTGTAAGCTTAATAGAGTAGAGGGTTCCATCATTTGGTATTAGAGCGGTTGATTTGAGGGAGAGGAAAAAAAAAATGGCAAACTTGCGAGAAGAACTTGTAGTTACAGCAGCTGAGATGTCAAAATTGTTGAAAAATATAGGGGAAAGAACAGAGGAAATGCAGAAGAAATTAGAGAAGTGCACAAAGATTTTAGATAGAATGGAAATGCGTGTTGAAGAGAAGAAATCAGAGAAAGATGCTGTAAGTGAGAAAAAAGATGAGAAGAAACCAGTTGAGCAAGAAACAGAGGGAGTTATGGAGGTTGAAGGAGGAGGAGGAGCGAAAGAGTCTAGTGCAAAACAACAGTTAAATTCATCACCTTTTTCACAAAAAGAGAAGCTTGAAGGTGCTTTTGTTGACAACCCAAAAGAAGATATGAAAGTCATGAAACATGTAGAATCTCAAGTCTGGGATGCTGTCAAAACTATGCCAAAAATTCCCATAGATGTCCAGCAAGCATATGCTGCAGCAGAAGAAACAAAGGAGGAAATAAAGAGAGCATGGAATGTTGAGAAGGCTCCAGCCCAGCACTGGAAAAATTATGGGCATGGAAGCATCTGGGTGAAGGCCGAAGATGATGATGGCAAGGAGGCTCGAGAAGAGACATATGGTGCAGAAAAGAGAAGCCAACGACTGTTAGGCCAGTCATTGCAATCAGTTGAAGAAGAAAGCGAGCAAGGTAGGGAAAAAAATAAATGGGCCTTGGATCGGGTAGGTCAAATTAGTTGGGGTAGAAGCCCTAAATTTGACAAGAGGATAAAAATTAATGGACCTGTTTGCAACATACTTGAGGCCCAAATGCACATTGGTTAGGGAAGACACCCTCAATTTGATGAGAAAATAAATATTGATGGGCCAGTTAACATAAGCAAGGCCCAAATGTCCATTCAATTTTTTAACCCTAGAGATACCTACACTAAACTGCTTGCCAAAACACACCATCAGAGGATAGCGAGAGAGTCTTCATTCAATACAGCATCAAACCATCAAGAGAAATTTTCATACCTCTTTGATGTCAACACAGCAAGAAACGGTGGGCATAAGGTTGTTCTTTATCATGATTGGGTGCCGAGCGCCATAGTTTCTGCACGTCCCACTTATCTGCTCAAGGGTTTGGGTTTGTTTAGAGAAAATTTCTGGGTTATTGAGATTTTTGAAGACACATGTTGGAGAGAGCAAATACCTCTGCAATTTTCTCGCAGAGGAAAAGCAAAAGTGAGCAAGCCAAGAGCATCTTCCATTCTGTCCAAGTACAAAAAGATGCTCAGGACTAATTACTGGGCTTTTTCATTTGAGCACATTGAAGCACTAACAAGGCTCCAAGTGAACATGTGTACCTATATTCTATTTGTGTGCTTTTTCATGGTTGAAATTACCCACTAGTTGGAAGTGAGGGGCAAGAGGGCTAAATTTTCTCTCATAAGTGGCACCAATTCAGCAACGAGGGGCCAGATGGAGACAACTATTGGCACTAGAAGACTGTTTTGGTTGAGCAGTAGAGACCAGCAGAACAGGCAAATCAGGGCTCTAGAATTACGGTTAATGACTGAAACTGAAGATAACAAGGGAAGAATATTAGAGAAAGAGAGGGTGGCCTCGCTTCTAGGTGCTATTTCTATATTGCTTCACTTAGACGCTGTCACCACTCACTCAAAAGCAAGAATGGCAGCAACAAGGGAATTTCAGGGACGAGAAAATTTTCTAGGCACAGAATCCTTGATCTCAGTATTGAAGACTTGGCCCCCTGCTTATGAGTCTGAAAATTTTCCAGATTTGCAGCAAACTTTTGTTTGGCAGCTTGTGATTCTTTTCACTTGGGAAGAAGGTAGCAGAGGTGAAAACTACCCAGGCAAAAGTCACATTTCAGCTTTAGTGTTTAAGCATGAGGCTGAACATTATTCTCTTGTTGAACAAAAAGGAAGTGGAGGAGCTATAAAAAGAATATACTTGGGTCATACAACACCATCTTCAGACATTCTACATTTTGCTACAACAAAGAGGGCAACTAGTGCAGAAAAAGGGATGAAGTGCTGCAATATTAATAATATCACAGTTCTTGGCGGTCCAAATTCTAGCATGGTTTTTTGTGTTCCAAGTTCCCAAAGGATTCAAAGTCCATACAAATATAGTTTTATCGAGAAACCTTATAATGGAGAGAACTCAGCAAGAGTGGTTTCACAACAGTGGCAATCAGATATACCATTGGCTAGAGATTCTTCAAGAACACAAGAGAAGCTGAGCTGTTTGGGGAGGAAATTGCCAATACTTTCTAATTCTCACCTTGAGGAAAAGGTGAAGCTTCAGGGGGAGGGTAATGATAGAGCTGGTGATTCCCAAAAGATTTTCTTGTCATTTCCTAAGGCTTACAGTGGACAATCTAGCCAGGGAGGTGATTTAGAGAAGACTAAGACCAGTAGTCAAGAGGCTTATTTGAAGGTTTATAACTGTAAGATTCAAATGATAAAAGAAAAGTCAGGGTAGGTGTAGCCTAGGGTATGGGTAGTGTCAGCATGGGTAACGACTACTTTTTGACTCTTTAAATATGTACTTCTGTGATGAGGGATGAGGAGGGGACTATTGGAGAATTGTGGTCAAATGAGGAGAGTTCTGGCCTCTCGAATGCCAGATTAGGGGTGGAGAAGATCATCTTTTCTTCATCATTTTATCTTTCTACTTCAGTTTGTATTTGTGAGAGACCAGTGTTCGTGTTGCTGCTCAGAGGGCATAGTTTATGTTGTTTCATGCTCTATAATTGCCATCTCAGTGTAATTTCTGTCTTTATTTTGATTGTAATCCCACTCTATTGTTCAGCAAGAGTAATTGTTAGTTACATTTACAGTGTATTTTCTGGTTTTGCTTATTTTTAAGCTTAATAGAGTAGAGGGTTCCATCAATATTAAATGTCAACTCTAATCTTCAACTCCGCCTATGTTTATAGTCAGTCCCAAGCCCGGGTAAAAGAGAAGGGTTGTGTTAGGCCATTAACAGCCAACATAAAACTTTGTTGAATCTATCATGAACATGAACAATAGACATTATAATGTTAATGCTAAGTCGTTGCCCGTAAGTAATGCGTTGCTAGCTCGAATATAGTGATAAGTGAGTTAGAGCCACTGCATCGGCGCCTGGATGTAGTGTTAAATAAGCAAAGGCTACTACGTCATTCTGGACGTGCGCGGCTAAAGAGGTTAGTCCATAAGAGCAAGATTAGATTTGGTACTTGAAATGTTGGAACATTGAATTGTAAATCTGTAGAGGTTGTAAGGGTTATGATTTAAAGAAAAATCAATATCTTATGCCTGCAAGAAACAAAATGGCATGGAGAAGAAGCTAGGGATATTCAAGGTTTCAAACTTTGATATACAGGAAAAGTAAGTACAGGAAAAGTAAACGCACGCAATAGAGTAGGCATCATTATTAATAAGAAGTGAAAGAAGTACGTTGTAGAAGTTAGTGGATTGGAGACAGAATTATTTCCTTAAAAATGATAGTTGGACATGAGACTGTTAATATTGTTAGCACTTATACGCCTCAAGTTAGGACAGAAGCCAATCTTAAGGAATTATTTTAGGAGGATCTAGAGGGATTGATTCAACACATACCACAGAGTGAAAAGATTTTTATTTGAGGAGACTTTAATGGGCATGTCGGAAGGGAGGTTGGTCCGTATGCAAGGGTGCATGGTGGTTTTGGTTTTAGAGAGCTAAACAATAAAGGACAAACTCTTCTTAATTTCTCATAGGTATATGAGTTTAAAATTGCCAACACTTGTTTCAAGAAGAGAGATGAGCATCTCATCACTTACAAAAGTGGAACCTTAAGGTCACAGATTGATTTTCTTTTGGTTAGGAACACAGATAGAAGACTCTGCAAAAATTGCAAAGTAATTCTCGGGGATGCTGTAACGACATAACATAGGGCCCTTGTCTTTGATGTGTGTATTATGAGTAAAATTCAAAAACGTCGACAAGTAGTAGCACCAAGGATTAGGTGGTGGCAATTAAAAGGTGAGAAGCAAGATATTTTCAAGCAGAATCTTTTGGACAAAGGAATTTGGGAATCTCAGGGAAGTGTTAACATCATATGAGAGCATATGGCTAAAAAAACAAAGGAGGTTGCAAAAGTAGTTTTGAGGGAATCAAAAGGTTCTGATCCGAGAGATAATGAGTCTTGGTGGTAGAATAATAGTGTACAGGACAAAATCAAATATAAGAAGAACTGTTTTAAAGCCATACATTTATGTAACAATGAGGAAAATTGGGAGAGGTACTATATGGCTGAGAAGGAAACTAAGAGAGCTGTAAGTAAAACTCGTTCTAAAGCTTTTGAAGAATTTTATAAAGACCTTGAGATAAAGGAAGGAAAATGAAACACTTATAAGATTGCTAAGAGTAAGGAAAGAAAATCAAGAGATCTAGAATAGATAAGGTGTATAAAGGATGAATAGAGAAAAATTTTAGTTACAGATGATGAAATTAAAAATAAATGAGAAACTTACTTTTCCAAACTTTTCAATGATGGAGAAGGTTCATCTAGTAACTTGGAGGATTTAGCAACCCATAAAGGAGAACAAAATTTGTCATTCTATCGAATAATATGTGATAAGGAGGTAAAGGAAGCTCTTAAAAAAATGGCAAATGATAGAACCAACGGACCTGATTGTATATCTATTGAAGTGTGGAAATGTTTAGATGAAGAAGGGGTGAGATGGTTAACTAAGTTATTTAATGTAATTTTATGGTCCAAGAAAATGCCTGACGAGTGGAGGAGAAGTACATTAACTCCTATTTATAAAAATAAAAGAGATATTCAGAATTGTACTAACTATAGAAGGATTAAACTCATGAGCCACACAATGTAATTATGGGAGAAAGTAATTGAGCACAGGTTGAGATTGGAGACAAGTATTTTTGAGAATCAGTTTGGTTTTATGCCAGGTAGATTGACTATAGAGACGATTTATCTACTACGAGAATTAATGAAAAAGTATCGTTGTAAAGATAAAAATTTATACATGGTTTTCATTGATTTGGAAAAAACTTATGACCGTATATCAAAATAAGTGCTTTGAAAAGCCTTGAAAAAAAAGGGAGTACAGATTGCTTATATTAAAATCATACAAGATATGCATGAGAGGGTAAAAACTAGTATAAGAACGTCCAGTGGTCAAACAAAGGACTTTCCTATAAAGATTGGACTACATCAGGGATCATCGTTGAGTTCTTATCTATTTAACTTGATCCTAAATGTTTTGACAGGACATATTCAAAAGAAAATTCCCAATTATATGCTCTTCGCAGATGATTTAGTTCTTATAGCAGAGACAAGAGAAGAGGTTAATTGTAAACTTGAGTTATGGAGGAAGACATTAGAATCGAAAGATTTCCTTTGATTAGGAGTGAGACGAAATATTTATATTGTAAATTTGGTAAGAAACTAGTCGACAATAATTTGAAAGTGAAATTAGAAAATCAAATTATACCTCAAGTGAAAAAATTTAGATATTTAGGAGCCATTATTCAAAATGATAATGAAATCAGTGGGATATTTCATATAGAATTCAAGCTGGGTGGTTTAATTGGAAAAAAGCTAAAGGAGTTATTTGCAATCGTAAGGTACCTAACAAACTTAAAGGAAAGCTTTATCATATTGCTATCAGACCGGCTATGTTATATGGTAATGAATGTTGGGCTCTAACGAGACAGCAAAAGCATTAAGTTGGAGTGACAAAGATGAGAATGTTACAATGAATGTGCAGATATATACGTAAAGATAAAATTCGAAATAAGCACATACGCGAAAAAGTGAAGGTAGCACCTATTGAGGAAAAAATGGTAGAAAATCATTTAAGATGGTTTGGACATATACATAGAAGATCGCGGGAGGCACCGGTGAGAAGAGTGGAACATATAAATTTGAACCCTGTTAAGAG